AAGAGGTCAGAAGACGACTCAAACCGATGTCAAGATTTATGGTCCAGTGTCTGGGCCATGGACCCGCGGGTGGACACTTTTGAATCGAAAATTCGTTCCGTGACACAGGAATTACCATCTTAGGCGTCCGACTAGCATTGCGGCCGGAGTTAAAAACTTTTCGTTGGTCTTATGGACCCGGTCTACAAATCTATGGCGGCGGCAATTCTTTACAATCTTATCAACGGCAAGGGGGTTCATGAATTCAAGTATGATTAGCCGTTACCACGACCATCTTAGCTATGATAGTTTTGATAGTCGCACGGCGAGAGGTAGCGTAACTCTCTCCTGTCATCCTGTTGTTTATGACTAGAAAACCTCAGATCAGAATTTACCATTTTGACCATTACACTACGTATGCGTGCGTTTCTCACAGGCAACAATAGGTCTGGTGGGCCACATTATTAGGGCCTCAATGGTTTCATGGGACAATTCAATAGCCATAGCTTTGTTCATATTATTGTACCAATATGGGTTTTATAGTAGTGAGACCAAAACATGACCCAGTTTTTTTATATTCATTCGGGGTTTATTTTTACAAATAGCAGTCTAGAAAATGTGCGGCAACTGATTCAAAATTATTAATGTATCGCTGGATTGGATTCTAGTAGGAAGCTCAAGAGTGGCGGGTCGGTACATGTTTTATTGGATAACCTTGCCCTGGTAGAGCTCAAACTCATGAAAACACATGGGATGGCCATTTCCCAGTGGCTGTCAGTTTTAATCTGGAGTAGATCCGAAGGATTGGTATTTTTCGACCATCGTAGCGATGTACCGTGGTGGCGGTGGTGGTAGTGACTGGTAGCCTCGATGGCCCTTGTGTTGCACGTTGTGTTGGGCAATCCTTGGTGTTTGACTCGCAACACCTAACCGCTTTAGGCAAGAGAAACAAACAGTGCCAGCCTCGGGATATAAAAAGGATGGGTCTCGCCCTCTTTCTTTCTTTCTTTCGTTAGCTCGCTTTCGTTAGCTCGCGAGACCAGTTAGCTCCCTTTGCCAGACTAAGAGAAGAATTATCTGTTCTTTTCAGTCTTGCTCAAAAGTTTCCCTCAGGCCTGGTTTCACGAGACAACGTCAGGCCTTCCACCACAGTCACACTTGCTTGGCGTAACCATTAACCGTCACTCAGATGGAATACTTTCGATAAGAGATCTTAAATGGTATCAATGTGACTACTAATTCTTGAGAATTTGTAACTTGGATTCGGTATATATGTGCTGTCTCCGAATAACGCGAATTATTCTCTTTCTGCGGTTGCCTTCGTGCGACCGAAGCTTTCGTGGAAAGAGATCGACCACTTCCGCAATCTCTTCCGGGAGAACCCCAACAGAAGTCGTCTCAACACTTTGTGTTGCGCCATCCCCTACTGTTTGACTCACAAGACTAGTACCTACTTAATTAGGTGATTAACCCTCTCAGGTCCGCTTTCGGCAAGACGAACGAACAATTGCAGAGTTTCCCTCGCCAAGACCTTTCCACTATAAAAGGACGGCCTCCCCGGCACCCTCTTTTTTTTCATCAGCTCTCTTCGCCAATTGGCTTAGATCAAGTGTAGTATCTGTTCTTTTCAGTTTAATATCTGAAATGTCGTCCACGTGATGACATCATATATTAATACTATTTTTGAATCTCGACGGAACCCTCTTGGCTTGCTAATGGTTTCTTCACCGTGTCTCCAGTATTGCACTGTCTCTGGAAGATGCGAACAATCTACTTTTTTTCCATGGTTGTCTTCGTGATATCGAAGCTTACATAGAAGAAACAAGATCTGAGCCGTCTAACCGAGTCCGCCGCTCAAGAAAGAATTCTAACGTGGTTTCGGAGATCATCAAGAAACAGCACGATAAGGCAAGCAAGTATAGACAAGTTTATTTTGTAATATTGGTTATAACGTTATTTCTAAATTATTGTTGGTCTCGAGGCTGGACTCCAGCACGCGTCTGGACTCCATTTATCGCCTGGTGTATCTAATTTCCGCTAGCTTGATTAATATCCACAAATTGATTAACTAAGGTTTCTAATTATCTCGTCGCCAGACTCAGGAAGCAGTGGTGATTTTTCTTTGACTCGGAGAAATAGTTGTAGGAGCGGCGATGACTTACATTGGAGTAGCACTATAAGACATCTTCAATCTCCAAGGCGTGGTATGCAGGCTCTTCATATTCGTGAGCTCTAAGAAGAATTTAGTAGGGGTTGCTGTTAGGAAATTTAATATTACGCACTCTTTTAGGCCCTATATTGCCCTTTCCAAAACTTCCCGGCCAATACACAAAACTTCCACCTTAGCCTCCTCAACTGCTTTTAGTTCACCTACAGCTCCTATGTGTTCTTGGGGATCGGAAGTTGAGGTTTAGAATGCAGGTGAAGAAAGTTGTCCGGCTTGGCTTCAAGTAGAACATTTTCTGCGTCTCCAATCGCTATTTCATTGAAAAGTTAGCGGGCTGCGATAAAAAAGTCTGGTTACGAGACTGGGGCTGCGAAGGATTGGTCTCGTAAACTAGAGTTCATGCCACCAACTGCGCCCCATCTGCCAGTTCGATTTTCAAAGCCTATGTAACCCAAGCATCTACCGATAGTTCCTGAATAAAATATTTTATCGATGAGTACAGTAGGCCTTGCCAAACCGCAGGCCGATGTGGTCTCGTTAACTTGGTCAGGGAAGGTGTGTCGTTCTCACCTCCCAAGCGAATTAAAAAAATCTCGAAAAACGAAAAATTGTGTGATATCACTTCCATGTTGTTCAATACCGTTGGTCAGATGTGGAAGGTACATGAACTGTGAAATATTGGTATTCGCACAATAATTTCTGACAAGGAATCTTTCTGATACCTCCCTATTAGTGATAGATAGATAGCAGCTCGTGAAAAGAAACGTTACTACCAGGCGGGCATGCAATGAACGCCTACGCAGACGCCGAATCGACGCGCCATATGTACGTGGATGAAGCTCTATGGCTCCCACCCCTTCTCGAGTACCTAGCTTCGAGGCTACACTTCAACCATCTGGGCTAACAACTTCTTAACAGAAGCATTTTCAAGCTCCCTAAAGTAGCTTTCATACATAGCGTATCGGTTTTGATAACCCTAAGAGACCCTTGAGCGCTCTTATCCCTATGCTACACGCTTCGTATTTGAATACGCTCTCAAAACTGGGACCTGAATGACAACCAGCCAGGTTTAGTCCCAAGCCGTATTTGATTCCAGGCTAACCTGTTTTGAGACTATTAACTACACCGAGCAACTTAGTCTGGGAGTCTCAAGCCACATCGGTTGTTAAATAAATCAAACCCGCTTTGGCTGCAAACCGTTGATACTCTAGGTTGTCTGACTTCTAGCGCATGGCGATATTGAACTCGGTCTTTGTGCAACCGGCTCCGTTGAGCAGTAACATCACAGAGACCAGCAAGGGACGATACTGATGATAGAGCACTCTCTGTCGCCTTAGCCGGACCAAATAGAGGGGAGTTTTTGGGTCAACGTGGTTGAAAAGGCTCGGGAAGGTGTGTCCAAGTCCCGGGCCCTGGAAAGCAGCCCGGGGTGGAAAGGCCCGTTTGATTCTCGACAGACCCTGGTGTCTGGCCATATAATTACCTACCGTACGGGTTTTTTTTGGGTTTTTGGGAACGCTTTGAAGTCTCCACTACGTTTTACTTGGCCCTTAAGCCGTCTTAATCCAGCCCCCAGGCGGATTTTCCGCCCTAAAAAAAACCCGCGATTTCCCCTACGGTATACAGTACCCAGGCCCAAAAGCAGCCATACCTAGGGAAAGCCTTACTTCAAGCAGATCCCGCAGTCTGAAAGTGTGCACAGCAACTTTTCCATCACATCACAACATCCACCCGGCCACCGCAAATTCATCAGGCTAGCAGAGGAGTCTAGGACACCATCCAGTTCCAAGTCGACCATGATAGCCTCCACACCATAGGGGGTTTTAATCAGCTTTTGGGATCACTTCAATACTTCAAAAGGCCTCATACGGGGTTTAAGGCGCCTCGATTGGTTCGAAGATGACTCTAAGACGCATTTTCCACCCCAACAAACGTTGCAAACTCCTGATTGCCCTTACTCTATCTACCCGGATTTAGTACACTTCTTGTGTTACCGGACACCCGGTGGTTGGTGAGGTGGCCTTGCCTGAGCCGGACCAAGTAGAACAATAGCTCATGGTTGCATCCCGGGTCCTTGTGGGGAATACCGGTGGTAAAAGCTCCATCCAGCGAGGAGTTCGGATACCGTATGTAGCTCCTGCCTAGGTATGTAGCCATACCCGTAAAGTCTTCTAGGTGGGGCTACTGGAGCTCTCTAAGCCTGCCGACAAGACGTACAAGGTCGATATCCTAATCGGGATGTCAGGGGATTTTACGACCTAAACGAGGAGATACGATTTACCTTGTCTGGCTTGGCGAGACCAGGTTTACCCTACGGTATAAACTGTACGGGCTTTGGGTGTGGAGTAGCTGAGGCGGTAGCCCCCAAGGCCCATAAAAGCTACTCCAGGAAATCTTATCTCGCAGGCCAGCTGCGTACTTTCAGTAGCGGTAAATCAGAGCCTGCGCTACATCACTTTTGTGGTTGTTGCTGTTGCTCAAGCTGGCGGTCTAAACTCTTCTCCTATTGGTCTAGGTATTTGGGTTGTAGTATTGAAGATGGGCGATCGAGCAGAATGGGACCCATCTGTAGATATGTCTCCCTGAGGTAGTCTTCTACTGCCATGGGGTTGAAGTCTACGAAGTCTTTAGAGGTTTGCTGCGTTATCTTGAAATAGTGAAGCCGCAAAAAAATCATGCTTTCATTGCTGCGAAAGTAGTTTTGGTCCCAGTAAAAAAAACGGAAAAGCCGATAAAGAAACCCCCCCCTCTAATAATACCATGAAAAACAGAAAACCCCCTAATAACACCATGAGAAAAACAGAACGAACAACCACACCCGGGAATATTCCAAGAAGACAAAAAAGGGCATCTGTCGCATTGGTTGGATTTGAACCGACGACCTCGTACTCTTGGATCAGTTGACCGCTCGTACGCGCTCTACCACTGAGCCACAACGCTCAGGCACTCCCTTTTAACCCCCTTGATCCCCGGATGCTCTCCTTGACATACCAGAACAACATCTAAAAATTAAAGCAAAATATTAGCGTAAAATTAAGGTCAGATTATTTCAAGTTGAATGATCTCTTACCCCAAGTCCGCTGAAAATGGTGGACCCTAGTCCCGTCAAGACGATACTCATTTGAAAATTGATCAGCATTAAATGAGAATTGATACCCTCCAGGAGCTGTAAAAAATTCTGTTTAGTACTTATTGTATTTTTATCAAGTATTGGAGTATTTTAAAGGGATCTTGCCATGTCTGAGTGCAGCGCGTGCTGCATGAGGAACGTCAACTTCTGATCGGCAGTGCCGTCGAGAGGGACTTCGAGCTATAAAAAGATGAGCGGGTCTTTGAGAGCAAAGGATAGTTATAGAGGCAATTAAGTTATGAGAACCTACTGGTGGGATGGGATGTTGGGGTTGGGTTCGGGTTAGGAGCTTGGAAAGTCCTGATCCAAGGCGACGGCCGTGAGGAGGATGGAGGAGCAGGGAGCGGGAGATGCTGAGGGGTTGAAGGGTGCGAGGGCGGACGAAGCGAAGAGCGTTCATCTTTCCTGGCGGTGGGTGGTGTGGTTGATGGTGTGGTGGACGGTGTGATGGATGGTGGTGGATGGGATTGGGAGTGAAGAGAGACCATACAAACTAATAATGTGTGTGTGGTAAGGAATGATATGTTCATTGAGGTCTAAGGGCTTAGTCATCATGGTTTCTAGAAGATATATATAGCTGAATTCCCATAACCTCACCAAAATATTACAGCTTTTTGGTACTATACAATATCTCCTAGTATTAAACTGTCTCTGGAAGATGCGAATTTGGTTTTTTCTATGGTTATCTTCGTGATATCGAAGCCGCCATAGAAAGAAGATATAACACTCGAATACTCTACTCCTCCTTGCCCCTCTTCTTTCTCTCCCTCCCTCCCTCTCCCTCCCTCTTTCCAGCCTGGCTCTGTTAACACTGACTGTCCAATCTCGAGATCTAATTCCCTCCAAACAAAAGAAATCATAACTAGTTAGCTACACTCAACTGGTACCCGACCCCTGACCCACCTATTTTATTTACCCATATACCACCACGGTATCTTGGATCTCCATGTTGGCCTCATTCTCTGGGGCCGTCTTTTGCTGTTCTCGTAGTAGATAAAATCTTTCATAACGCTCTTGATTCTCTAGCCCAGAGTTGATAGCAGTTTGTGGGACTCTGGTGTCTTGATAACGTGAGTGGCCAGAAGTATTGATTATTTCACTAGTTATAAGCTCCGTCTCAATACCGACGAATACTGGTTGAAGGTCTATAAGGAGAGTTTTCGACATGTAATGCTCAGCCCATGTACAATCTTTCAGATTCCCGAGGGTTAGGGTAAGGCCTGACGCCGTCGATCCAATGTTGTTTTGCCCTCCATTGCGTTCAAGACGTCCCCATATCTGACGCTATATGGAGTTAGTCAGACTGAAACGAAGTCCCATGTGGGTCCCCAAGATCCTCAGAGAGTAATTTAGTTGGAGGATGCGCATTGTACAATTCTCCTGATTTCGAGCTATCGGCCTATCCAAATGTGACTTTTTTTCTTCCAACGAAATTCAGTAGATCTTTTGGCCAAAATAGATGGAGAGGCCGAACCGAGATAAGGTCCTCGGGTTTGCGAATGTCGGCATCGAATGCGTCGTCGAGAAATGCCAATGCTATGAATTCCTGAGAGACAGGGCAAAACTTGTTAGAATCATGTAAAATTACATCCGAATATATATTAATAGAGGTTGCTATACGATATTCGGTTTTTATGATTTTCTAGCTTGACTTCAGAGGGAAATGTAAGTTAAGTTTATGCTGATGAGGATTAGGTTGGACGAATATGAGAGTTATATATATATCTTATATATAGAGCTCTTTTGGGCGTTTACGTTTGCTAAGTACCTGATATCATATGAACTTAGCCTCGAGACAAAGCGCAGCCACATATTCATGTATGAGCATATAAACGTACCTGGTAACAGAGAGCGGCAGTAGGTTCTGTTTCGCCCTTTGTAAGGGCAAAACCACCCGGATGGCTCAGTGTAAAGTCAGATAACATAGTAAATAATTAATAAGGAAAGCTGTAGCCATACTAGCAGTTGCATTGTTCGTTCATCATCCTCTAACCATAAATAATCCATAATGCCAAAAAACTCCTTTTAATTAATATGAACCTTTTTTTCTTTGTACAATAAATACCGTCCGCCCGATGTCTTAAAAAAGTTTACAATCAATACAATTTTAAATGTTATTACATATTCAATCTAAGATTATCCAATTTCCCTATCTCTTCTCAATAATTCTAATTTTTACAATATACCATGGAATGTATAGGAGTTGATATCTTTGCTGATGTGTTTGTTTTTGGAGTTTTCAATCAAGAATCGCATAAACTATTTCAAGTCTGTAGTACTTATAACGTCACCTGGCCGAAAACCATAGGTAAGAGGCTTCCCACTAAACTCATTGAATCTATGAATAAATATCTGTGTCGGCTCGAGTAACTAGGGCTAAGGGTGCGCTCAGTTTATAGACTTTCAGATGCTGACTCATGCCATTTCTTGCTTAGGCAATTGTAGTCAGCTTCTGATGACGACCGTAATTTTTTCAAACAGTAGAAGTTGGCAGCTTCCCTTCTTTAATCCTGCGCTATTTGCGAAGTATAGCCTCTTTCTGCCATGATAGGTTTCGAACACCTCTTGCTCATCTTAGGGGGCTGAGCAGCTGAGCTTCTCTCAGTAACGGTATTAGGTATTTTAATAAATTAAGGGTGCTTCAGTGGGACTTGAATGAGTCTAAGAGAAATTCAACCTGGCTTATAGCTACTTCATGGCAGGATCCAGAGAGGGCATACGGGGAAGCATATATAGATTTACGAACACATAAAACTGCCTTTTGAGGGCAATCTACCTGTTAGATACGATCGAGCTCCGGGCTCTAAGCAACCCCCCCTCGCATTGCTACCCCAACTTTAGTTTCACGCACCCAGTACTTGTCGTCCACTCTCATGTTCTCATCGCAAGGAATCTCTAGCTCTTACATAATATTTTTAAATTTGTCAGGGGAAAATTTAGTAGATGGTATAAAGCGTACTGACAAAAGGAAGTCGGGATTTAATAGTATAGCCTGGTATTCGTATCGTTTATGAATCTTCAGGACAAAATCCTCTACATATGCATAGCGGAGGACATGCTTTGTAACTTGGCTGGGCAGCCTACCGTATACCGCTGGTGCATTAGCTAGTAAACAACCTATTAACTACTCAACTACCTCCCTATTTAATTGCTGGCGTGCTAATTAATAAAATATCTACCTATCGGTATTCCCAGCTACTAGTGTTTGTTAGCGAATGAACTGCTTATTAACTAGTGAACCACTCATCTACCTAGCTGCCGACATACCAGCTAGTGAATTAGGTGGGAAACTAACCACCTAGCTAATATATAGTGGTAGTTGGATAGGCGGTTCGCTAGCTAGCCGGCAGCTCATTAGCTGGCTGGTAGCTGGATAGGTGGGTCCAAATCTGGCAATCGGGTTTAAATACTGCCGCAAGCAGTCTACAAATATTTATATATACCTAATTTAGGAAAAACAACATTTCGAGAAATTGTAATTATCACACTTGGGTATTCTGCACTCAGGATCACGGTACTTAGGCAATTAACTCTAATATCATTAAATTAATCACACTAACTAATTCCTGGTTTCGGTAGCTGCATTGCAAGGTGCATAACTAGATGCGCTGGGCCATGGGCTAGCTGTCATTTTGGCATCTACTAGCCTCAATTCCAGGCGCGCGCTCGAGGTGGAGGGCATCTACGTAGCTACGTGGTATCAGTCAACACGAACTGCATATGCGCATAGGTACTAATGCACGCATCACCCCTCACCCAAACTTATGTGCTGCATGTCACAGCTTCGTCGCACCTAACCTGGCTAAAGGCCACAATCATCCCTATTACATTTGCAAATATTTTACAGTGGCGATAAAGCTTGAACAATTGGATAGATTAGATTACGTATACGCAGGTTGATTTTCTGGAAGATCCGTGATTGCTTTTTTATATGCTGGCTACCTAGTTAAGCCTACTATATAGGCTATCTAAGATGCGGTACTAGCTCGAGGTGACGAACCCGCCAAAGCCTAGGACTGGTCTGCGCCCAGAGAACATGACATGTCTGACGGGACCATAGCGCCCACCGCCCCCCAAATGGCCCTATGTCTGGAAGATACAAAGTTCCTCGTTACAGGAAATAGATCTTCTCTACTGGTGAAAACAGTCCACCTCCCACCGCAATAAATGGTTCCCAGACGCAATAGATGACGCTCCCTGCCGTGGTGGGTGGCTCCTGTTATCGGTGACGAATAGATCGAACCGACAGATTCATGTGCAGTTCACATGCGCTTTACCAATTCAACAACAGCCTAAACATCTTTCTTACGGCTCCTCCATTTGATGGTTTCCTTGACATACCATATCAACAGCTGTAAGAAGAATCGAAATATCAGCTTAAGTTTAAGATCGAATTGCTTATAAAGTCCACCTACCCCCAAGCCGCTAGCACAAACTGTAGTGGTCATCACACTAGAGACAACTTGTAATTCGACCGTTATGGTTGCAAGACTTTGGTTCATATCCGCTACGGTCTATTCAAATTTATATTTAGCAATCATTATGTTCTTAGATGATGAATATTTTTAGGTGATATTACCTTCTTAAGCTCGAGCATGTGTTGGACTAAAAAGTGGAGCATATCTTCGATAGTGTCGATCTGTGGAGTACCTGTTGTGGGGGACGAGACGATGTGTCGGGATGAAATGTGACGGACGGCGTGGAGGCGCAAGGAGGGCGAATATTAATACTTCGGCAGACGTTCATTGATAATCATGGTGAGTTATGGCGATGGCGATGGGCTGCATTGGTTGGTGGTTGTTTTGGAAGG